TGACTGCTCACATTAAGTTTCACATCGCCTTTGCTTAGAAAAAAACGTTTCTTCTTAAATGGTAATTTACAAGGAAGAATATGAGATGATGAAGGTTTAGTAGAGTCATCCTTCACTTGCACTTTAGCAGGATTTAATTCAGGCATTTTCTCGCTAACATTAGCATTAGCGGGCCTTTTCTCGGGTTCAGACAAACACTGCTGCACTTTGACAGGAGTGTTTGGATCTTTGGGCTTTTTTCGGAGAAGAATGACCGGAATTTTCTTGAAAAAGGGAACTTTTGCAGTTAACTTCGTCAATGGATTAGGATTCACAGTATGATCAGATGATGTTTCCTGCTGTTTAGCATGGGAACCTGTTTCCGCTGGGTCCCCTGAAGTTCTAGGTTTTCGTATAAGAACGAAAGGGGGCTTTCTGGAAAGGCAAGGTTGTACCTTAACGGCAAATTTCTTTCTAGACGGTTCCGTGCTGAGATTATCCTTTGTCACTGATAAATTGAGACCAACACCACCAGATGTGCTCTGTTCAGAAGATTGTACGGATTCCACAAGATCAGATGAAGCCTTGCGTTTCAGATTTTTGATGATGATCATAGGATTTCTCCTAAATGATGTGGACTGCTTCTGCGGAGGATAAAAAGTAGGCGATTTGGCTTTAGGATGGATAGTTCTAGACGTTTTGTGTTTATGGGAAAAGCCTATCCCACCATAGGTACAATTTGGAATTGCCTTTATTCGCCTCACTGCTATTATTGGATTCTTCGGAGGCCCTGAGAGTGATTTCGTACCTCCACTTGTATCAAACACCTTATCCTCGCCACTAGTAGGCTTTTGCTGACGGCCGGAGAGTAAGCCTATCTCGGCATTGTTCGGCGATACAGTGGGATTTTGCCGGATGACAATGAGAGGCCTTCTTGTAGGTATTATAACCTTTTTCTGAAGTGGTTCTTTAGTTACAGTAGCTACCTTTTTCTCGGGTACATTGACTGGAATATTTTCGCGCTCACATTCTGT